GTGGGAAAATTCTTTTTCATGAAACCGCACCCTGGAGCCAAAAAGGTCAGGGACCACTGCATGAAATGATTTCAGCACCCACTTAGGGGTCACATACTGAAAAAGATAATGTATGTATGTTTTTTGAAAAGGTCCTTTATGTGCATGTGTATAAAACACTACAGGCTAAGATCCTCCAGAGCTCCTTCAGCTGCTTCTTCTATTTCCTGTCTCCATATATTAACTTGGGCCGCTCCTTCTGCTTTATCCACTCAAAAGTTAGTGATGGGCTCTCTGCAGTGGTAGGTGAGGATTTTGCTGTCTTAACCCCATACGTTAGTGCCCCAACTTTCATCCTTCTAATGTAGTAAAGTTTGGTTTTTATTTGATAAGTAAGCAGTGTTTATAATCTGAGACTGTAAATATCATTCATCACAGAGGCACATGGTGTATTACAATTTCTTTGATCTGTTTTTAGTTCTTTTTGGAGATAACCACCCCGTCTTTTTCGCTTGCACAGTTTTCTGTAGACCAGTGCTTCCTTTTCCCCATGTGCTCCATCACAGCTACCACGTGCCCGTAATTAGTGTTTGCTCCTAATTATAATTATAATGACTCTTTTCTATGAGATAGTGTGCTCATAAGTTGCTCGTAAGTTGTCCTTCCCCCGGAGGTCTCATTTCCAGAACGCTCCATCCGCGTGCTCGGCCTGGCTCGGGCCCTGGCCCACCTCGCACTCCTGGGCTTCCCTCCCTGCTCTCCGGCGGCCTCTTCTCTTTCCTGGGTCCCAGTTCTTTCTCTTTCTTGCTTCTTCCCCTCATTTTGCATCAACACACGTTCAAGAAAGTTCCACAGGAGAACGTGGAGAAAACTTCCTGAGTGCATGCATGTCTTAAAACGCTCTGGATTTACTTACCTTCACCCCTTGGTCGATAAATTGGGCACAGACTTGGAGATTGAAAACCCATTTCTGTCAGGATTTTGAGGCATTGCTCCCTTTGATTCTTGTTTCTTCATATGCGACCTGCTCTATTTTTTTTTTGAATCATGGCAAATATTTGTGTCCTTTCTATATATCCAGCACTATTCTAAGCGTTCTGCACCATTTAATCCTCATGTCACCATCTCTATGACATAGGGATTACTGTCTCTCACAGGGAGGACACGGGAGCATGGAGAGGTCAAGTAGCTTGCAAGCGAGTTCGGATTCTTGACAGGGCACGTTAGTACTGGTGGGCGCGGGGTCAGCTGTGTCACCAGAGCCCTCCAAATGCAGACTCATCTCCTCCATCAGCAATGCCAACTTCTAGTTAACCCTCACTCTCAGCCAGTACCTCCTACTTCCTGGTGTCCTTGAGCCCTGAGTCCCATTTGGTGTCTCCAGAAAACACCACTTTCTTTTCTTACCTGGGGAGGAGAGTAGCAAGAATGATGTTAGTAGCAAGAGCTAAGTTAGCCAGTTTTCTGTCAATAGACACTTTAGTTCGTTTTCCATTTTCGATCTTCGCAACAAGGGTGCCATGAACACCCTTGCACATTTCTCGTGGTATTCATGTATGCACCGTTTCCACGGTTACGCCAAGGTGCTGGGCCTTCCCGTCCTCAGGCAGCCACCGGGGACCTGGTGTCCGCAGAGCTCCCGGCCAGCCTCCTTCAGCGGTGGATGGTTTTATCACTTACCCGTCGTCTTGCAGAAGGAAAAAAATATTATTGTTTCCAGGTGGAATTAGTGAATCAAGGAGATGCACATCTTCATATTTAATAGATATTGCCACATTGCTCTCCAGAGTTGGGCCAGTTTACGCTCCCATTACCCATGTAGAGTTCTTTTTTCTTCTTTTTTAATCGAAACAATGTACTGTACCAATGGGCAGGAACGTGGGCTTTAGTGTTAGATTTACGCGAGTTTGACCTGGCTCCACCTATGAGCCGCGCGATCTTGGGCAGGCTTCTTACCCTCTACATGTGCCTTCGTCTCCTTATATGTCAGGAAGGATAGTAAGTCCTGTAAGTAAGGCTGTCTTTTCTCTCCTGGGGAAAAGAGTTGCAGGAATGATGGGATAACACAGACATTTGCTCAGTCCATACACAGACATTTAAATAATCCTTAAGTAGGCCTCAGTGTCACTGGGTACTTACAAGTCTGAACGCAGGTTACCTCAGCTCTCTGAGTCACGCATCCCAGTGAACACGAGGGATAATAATAGCACCTGTCTCATGAGAATCTTGCGGGGATTAAATAATAGACTAAATAAACAGCAAGTAAGCAAGTGGGTAGAGGTGTGTTCCAATAAAAGTTTATTTATGAGCCCTGACTGGTGTAGCTCAGCGGCTTGAACACCGGCTGTGAACCAAAGGGTCACCGGTTTAATTCCCAGTCAGGGCACATGCCTGGGTTGCAGGCCAGGTCCCTGGTGGGGGGTGTGTAAGAGGCAACCACACATTGATGTTTCTCTCCCTCTCTTTCTCCTTCCCTTCCCCTCTCTAAAAATAAATTTTAAAAAATCTTTTTTAAAAAAGCTTATTTATAAAAAGAGGCAGCTGGTTGAATTTGGCCCATGGGCTCTAACTTGCCAGGCCCTGCTCCAGATGAATCGCCTGTTCAATGCAGATGTTGTGCAAGGAGTTCGTCAACTATATGTGTAACATATGGATGGTATCTAATATGTAAATTTCTCTGCATACTATATTTATATATCACTAATATATAAATAAAGTTATATATTATTTAAATATATAAATATACCTTTATGACCTAACATACAAATGACTTTATAACTCAATGTATAAAGTTAGAATAAGTTATAAAGTTATGATTTATTTCTATTTTTTGCCAGCCATATAGAGATTAGCCTCATTCCCTCTGAAACTCTTTTCCCGGCCGACATGACTCACTCCATCTGCAGATTTCTTTGTTGAATGTCCATGGACTCCATTAATACAGAGTTTACCACATAACTCGTCCTGTTTACAACTAGCCCAGATTGTGTTTGTTTTTCCAGTTTTGTCTCATGGTGACGTTTATCCTCGAGCCTAAAACCCTACCCTTTGAAGCCATGTGTTCATATATACCAGCGCCTCCTGAACAGTGACCTCCCTGTGTTTGTATCTTGCCGCTTCCTGCTCAGAGCAGGCGGCTCTTGTTTTCGGAGGAGTCTCTGACATCGTCTCCGCCGACTCTCGTGCGTTCAGTCGGATGTTGAGTGTTGGCTTTGTAAGCGGTCACTTTGCTGGACACCAAAGATGCAGGGGTGAGCAAGTGCCTGACACAGGGCCCAGAAGTGGGCTGACCTGTCCAGGCCCCACTGGGCTGACTCTCCCTCGGTCTCTGCATTATGCTTGTATGACCCTGACCTGCCACGTGCTGCCTCGTTACCTTTCTCTTCATCCCCCTGCACCGCGGCTCGTGCGACTCCTCTCAGAGTAAGCGTGACAGCTCTGCAGACCCTTCTCGGGCTGTTTTCTTCAAAGGAGGAAACTGAGGCTCCGGAGAGGGAGACGCTCGCCCAAAGTCATGTAGCTGATACAGGGCAGAACTGGAAATCAGATTTAGATTTTATAGCTCCAAATCCAGGGTTATTTCTGAGAGTCCATGCTTCCAACGCACACAGACGAGATTGTCCTGATGAGACCTTATGATTTACCAGCAAAACAGTCTTTGCCGGTACAACACTAAGGAAGCATCAACCTCGCATGGGAAAAAAATAGGATTGAAGCACAACTTTTTTCTCTGACAGATGTCCAAAGACACCTGAAGTTCACTCCTTGGGACTGGGCATATGTGTCCCTGTTTGGACAAGCCACTAACCCTCCTGGAAAAGGTGTCAGAGCTAACCTATAGCACACCAGATTTAGAGTCCACGGCAGACACCTCATCTCCATGGGCGGCTTGTCAGAACAGTGACTGGTAGTAGACTCTACCCTTGGCGTAGACTCTGGGCTTATAGCAGGCTTCCTCCTGCACACACCGAGTGTCCCCAATATCTGAGAGGCCACCAATAGTGATGGCAACGGCGCTGTTAAAATCTGCTAATAGCAGACACTATGGGTAGTTGTGTACCAGGCACTCAATTATTGAGTCTATTTACTCCTTACAACATTTTCATGATGTGGGTACTACCATTATCACTAATGTTCATTTGGAGAAATGGTCAGAAAGGTTAAGTAACTTGTCTACAGTCAGTTAGTAAGTGGTAGAAAAGTGTTCTTAAGCACCATACAGTACTTGTCAGCTTGTCCCAAACCACTGAACTTAACATCTCTCATCCCAGAGCCCTTTTAATTCTTCAGGAGTTTGCAAATTAGATGATTCTCTTCCTGTAAATGGATCAAAGAAAAAAATTTATCTGATCCCCAAACGCAAAGCATCACAAAGGTCTTTATACTATTCCTGATATCCTAGAAAATACTTCCACATATTACCTTAGTATCTGAATCGTACTTTGAAGTATTTTGACTCTTTCTGTGTCTGTAGCTATATAGACGTGTCCTTTCTGAATGCACTCACCTTGTGTTTATTGTTCTTACATTGCCCTGAAATTGTCCTTGGCAAACCACTGATGGCCTTATAATTAGTAAATGAATGGTCAGTTCTCCATCTTTATGTCAGCTGATATCCTTGCATCTCAAGTGATAAGTGATCCCTAATTTTAATTTTTATATCCTGCCGCCTGCGCCTTCTTCCTTCTCATAGGATTTTCATGGACAGATGTCGAAACGTAATAGTGGTTTGGCAGTTGTGCGATATTATTAAATATTAGGGTGATCGTGGTTATCAGGAGGCTAGACGAAAACGAGGCAATGTATGTAAAATGTTAGTGAAAAATTTTATTGCAGAGATACATGAAATATTTCTCTTGAGAAAAGAAAATCTTTCTGCCAATTAAGTATTTCTTATTTTCAAGCACGCTTCTTAGGCATCTGCTGTGGACCCTCAGGAAGCAGCCGTTTAGACTTTTGGCCACGTGTACCAGGCCAGGGATGCCCAGGCGACAGGAGTGACCCCTGGTATTCTCTTGCAGGTGTTTACCTTGCTGTGGATCGCTGACTGGATGGTCCATCACTTCTGGAGGAAAGGAAAGGACCCGGACAGTTTCTCCATCCCCTACCTGACCGCCCTGGGCGATCTGCTCGGAACAGCGTTGTTAGCCTTAAGTTTTCATTTTCTCTGGCTCATCGGAGATCGTGATGGAGATGTTGGGGACTAATATGTCCTACAGACTGCTTTCAAGTTACCAAGAAGGAAAACACAAGATAATCACCCATGGCTCTTTCTCAAAAATTTTAAATTAGTAGCTTGACCTCTGCCAGGGTCCGCTCTAGTCGGCCCCGACTCAACTACATGGCCTTAACGTTTTTAAAAGGACTTGGTGTTGAAACCAGAATGAACAGTATTTATGCTGCTTTTCATAGAAGAAATGATCATTTCACATAGACATAGATACGAGCTCAAGCTCTGAAATTAATTAAATAGGAAAGAATATAGGGTGTTTACAATGAATAATTTTAAAACCACAGACATAGCAGAAATGTACTTGATTATTGTTTAACTTACAATGCCAGCTTAGAGGAGAATTCTAGTTTAGCGTGTCTTGTCTCACAGATGTGTGGTGCCACAAAGCATACCATAAAATGAAAGGGGCCCAACCGAGCTTTTAATAGTGTAAACTATACCCACCTCTACCAGCTGAGGATAAATTTGCCAATCACTCGCTCCTAACATGACCTAAATATGTTCAGCTGAGCATAAGATAAATTCACTTCTACCTGCTTCTGTGGATTTCCATGTGCCAATGCTAATTTAATTTCACCTTTGCGAGTTCTTGGCAGGCTGCCCTTGCAACACAGAATGACCTTGAGCAATCTGTAATGAAAACAGTGGGTCATTTCTGATCATTGATTTGTTGGAAGAATGTCGATCTTTTTCAGAAGATTTAGAGGTTAAATACAGAAGGTAACCCAAGCTGCGTTTGTAGAGACAAACTGTGTGAAAAATTGTGTGTGGGACAGAGAAGGACGCTTTTGGTGGAGAACTGAATCTGGGCCTGTGGAGAGCAAAGGCCACAGTGCTATCAGAATATTAGCATTATATAGATATTCTTAAACACGTTTTTTGATATACTTTTGTCATTTGGTCAAAAAATGTTGTCACGGCCCAGAATTTAATATTCCTTACCTACATTATAATAGTTTCCTTTCATTAAAAAGAACTGTGCCATTTAATTAGCTTACGTTTTAGAATGGACAAGTGATTCATTTGCTCTTCTAAAGAAGTCTGTCGGGACTGTTAGGTGTCCCGTCTTGTAAGAGAAGTTGGTCAGTCGCTCATGTCTGTACACATCCTCAGTTTGCACAGGCTTTGTTCTACAATCCTATACACTGCTATGTCTCAAATATTTTTCTAAAACTCTGATCTATATTCCAAATACTTGACCAACATCCTTGTTATTCAATATGTAAGCATTTTTATATAGTTCATTTTTAAAAAATTCAGTGGAATCTCTTAAGACCATTAGATATATAATAATTTAATCAATAAGGGAAGAAAAATGTACATTAACTTCAGTCATCATGGCTGAAATTATTTGTCTTTGTTAATGTGATATAAACAGTAGGTTGTTTATACACATGCTGGGGGAGGTCTTGTTGAACTCTACAAGAAGGGGACTGTGGTTTAGAGTTATATATATTTTTGCTTATTTTAAAACTTTAATTATTCCATTCTTCTGCCTTTTAATGAAGCTTCTAAGGCAGAGAGCTGAATGAATTGTAGAATTTCTCCTTTGGAGAATTATAATGTCACATAGTGAACATTCTTATAAAAGAAAGAATGATTAAGTTACACTGATGAATATTTATCTGCAAAGATTTCTTTTTATTTAAAAAAATCCAGAAATAATTTATTTTATTTTATTGTAAAGAATTTGTAAATTGCTTGTTTACATTTGGGCTGTATGATTCATAAGCATTTCTATTTCCTGATGACTTCTATTTGATTTTTCACATAAAATAGTGCGCAGCAGACCACATTTTTTCCTTGCAAACCACATTTTCTTAAAGCATTTATCAACCACTTTAATCCAGTGCATTATGTAATTTAAAACACATTCAAATACACGGTATTATTTAGTACTCACAATAGCACCTGTGAATTAGGTCAGTAGGTATTTCTTTCCCTGCATTACAGCAAAAGGAACAAACTCAGAGAAGTTACATTTTACAGGCGGCACAGCTGCAAAGTAACCGAACTGTGGCTAAAGACCGTGTGTCCCATCTCCTGAGCCGATCTCTTTCTGTGACCCTCCAAATGCACCAGGCACACACAACTCACCGAGAGAGAGTAGAGGGAGAGACAGGATTGTCTGAAGTAGAGTATTGCTGCTGCTTACAGACTTCAGACAGGGAAAAACCCCATTTAATATATCTCGATGATAAGCATAGCCAACTGTGAATTACTCACATTCATAAGACCCAGGAGAACACAGAAAAATGGATATGTTAGAATAACGAACAATGCCTTATTTCATAGAACATTTCATTGCCACCTGCCTTCCCAGATCTAGCCATTTTCCATAGATGCTGAAAAATAACTAGGATGACTGATCTGAGTTCTGTCTCTTTTCCATTTTGCTACCCAATTGAGGTTACAGCAACGAAATGTTTAAAACTCATGTAATAGAAAAAAAGAAAGACATGGAAAAATCGGTCATTGATTAACTGGATTAATTTTATAAGAGGGATGTAGCTTCCTCTAAAAAACATTTACTGTTTTTTTTTAAACCTTTATATAAGTGTGCAAATGATAGATGACTTCTTTTATTTACCCACAAAAATTATTTCTTATCAGTCTTAAATAATGTAAATTCACAGCATTTATTTTTATACAGTATAAAAACTCCTGCTTTCCAAACTTCATCCTTCACTGACATACCAGACACTCTACCTGCAGATAATTTTTTCAAAAACGTATTTTTCATTTTTGGCCATCAACTATTTTTTTTTCTTCAAAAAAAATAAAGCTTCTTAGCTCATGATAAAATGGGAACTTAGAGTAATGTATCTGCTTAAAGACATCCAAAATTCCACATCATAGCCCATCAGTGATGTTACCAAAGGAAGTACATTCTTAAAAGTCAGTATTGGGGCTTTCTCGTTGTATATCTGTGGTGTGGTCTACCCATTTCTAATGGGCATCCTTCATCCTCGAATTGTTGTAAACGCAAACGAGAATAAAATCGCAGCAATGTTTACCCAGCCTGGTTGTATGTACTTTTTGATAAGCTGCATGGACAGACAGCCTGTGTGGAGCCCAGGAGAGACTGGGGTGATCTGTGTACGTGTTGCAATGATGAGAATAACACATTGGCTCTGATTGTTTATTGTACTAGACCTTCGGTCCATGGCTTTACCACCTGTTCCCTGTTCTAAGCACTCTTCTCATTGTGCAGCTTAGATTCCTGGGTCCATCAATCCACATGTCTTCTACCACCACCTTCATACTCACCAGACAGCTTGGCTGGATAATGTAGTAAAGACACGTGGCTGCTCAGACAGATCTTTAGGTTCCTAACCTCAGACATATGGTTAGCCCTCAACTGTCCCACAGCCTAGATTTCTCTGATCTCTCTGCTGTCTGGGAGATCAGGCTTTTGTCCCCACCACTCGACAGAGTATCCCTGTCAAGATCAGTGACAGTCTCCACGTGGCCAAATCCAGTGATCTGTTCTCAATAAGGATTCTCATCTTATTTGGTCTCTAAAAAGATTCGATGGTCTCCCTCCTCCTTGAAATGCTTTCTCCTTTTCGCTTCCCAAGACATCTGGCTTTTGCCTTTATTTTCTGCACTCCTGGGAGCCCCTTCTCTGCCTGCTGGTGGTGGTTCCTCTTCAGTTGCTAAATGTTGGAATGCACTAAAGCTGAGGTTTTTAAAATCATGTTTATTGTTGTTTAAGTACAGTTGTCTCTATTTTCCCACCCACTTTCCCACCACTTTCTCCTATACCACCCATCCTCACCTCCCACCCTCAGTGCTACCCCTTTGGCTTTGTCCATGGGTCCTTTTTACATGTTCCTTCACAACCCTTCCCCCTCTTGCCCCATTATCCCCCTCCCCCCAGTCTGGTTATTGTCAGTTTGTTCTTTATTTCCATGTTTGTGGTTATATTTTGCTTGCTTGTTATGTTGATTAGCTTCCCTCACTGCCTGGCTTATTTCGCCTTGCAAAATGCTCTCCAGTTCCGTCCACACTGTCCCGAAGGGCAGGAGCTCCTTCTTTCTTTCTGCTGTGCAGTATCCCACTATGTAAATGTACCACAGTTTTTTGATCCACTCATTTTTTTCAGTACCTCTTCTCTACTTTTTCTCCCTTGGTGATATAACCCATGGCATTGTTTCAAATGCCATCTGTACGATTATTCCCAAATTGAGTGCTCCAATTTAGGCCCCTCGCCTGAGTTCCAGAGTTACGGTTCCAAACACTATCAACCACCGTGACCTCACTGACACACACAGACGACTCAGTCCGACACCTGCAGAGCACACATGCTAGGGGCTCATCTCCTCGACATGTGAAGAACATAATACAAAGCAGGAAGAAAAAGAGCAACAACGAAATAATAAAATAGCCAAAGACAGATGGTACATAAAAATAGATGCCCAGTATTACTCAAATGGAAAAAAATGCTAATGAAAATCATACTGAGATAAACATTTCTCACTATCAAAACCGCAAACATTCAAAATCAGATCAAACATTGTCTGGACAAGGCTGGTGGGGAGACAGACGCAATTGCTGGTGGTAAATGGTAAATGTACCACAGAAAAGCTGTGTCCAGGGGAATCTGGCCACTTCTTCCAAAATTACAGATGGCATTTGTCATTTGATACTGTAGTCCCACTAGGCCACCGTTGGACCCACCCAGGCAGGTGGGGCCTCTGCCCTGGGCCCTCTGCCACATGCAGTGGCTGGGACTCAGCCAGGGGTCAGATCCAGTTCACTGCCTGTGTCTATAAATGCAGCTCCATCAGAGTCCAGCTCTGCCCATTTGATAGAACTGGGAGGCTGTGAAAGAGACCATATAGGCTGCAAAGCCTGAAGTACAATATTTACTATCTGGCCCATTGCACACAAAAGATTTCACACATCCCTGCTTTAGAATGAATTCTTCAAATTTTACTTCTGTCTTCCTTGGGTACCTGCGACAAGCCAGCATCAGCAGTGCCATCCGGGCTGCCCCAACCTCAAACTGACCCTGTATGGGCTCCATCTGCAAAAAGCAATTGCGTTACAGTTTTTTGTAACTCACCACCCAATGCCTGGGACCAGCCAAGCTGAGGGTGAGTCCTGTGTCTCCCCTTGTTGATAAACCTGTGTGGGATCAACCAGATGCCCCTGGGAAGTCAGGTTCCTGCCTACAGGGTAGTCCCTGGGCTCTTATGTCCAGCCCCAGTTCCAGGAAGGCAACGTGGTAAGCGGATCATTCTCTCTGGCGACAATGATAACAGGTTTCCAGAATGGTACTGACACATGGATTTGGAGTGACTCATGCCAGACCCAGGACAAGTTCAGATGTCTCGGCCACCGGCAGTCCACAGCTAACCCTTGGACTCCAGCCTCAGATCTCTATGGTCAGCATTCTGACTGCGGCCTGTCTCTCGCCTAGAGCCTTGAGTGTGGGGGTGGCAGGCGTCCTGTCCTCTGTGCACTCCTCCCCATCAGTTGCACCCAGGAAGGTCTCCCCGCCCTCTTGCAGGTTCTGTGCCACGTGCCAGGCAGCCCTCTGGGGACAGCCACATCTCTCTCTTCTGATGGCTTGAAGACCCCTGCTCTGTGACTGGCCCTTCCAGTTGGCATCCTCTCTTCCCTCCAATTGATATGGTGATGCCATGCTCTCCCAGGTAAGTCTCAAACTGCATTGGACGAGGAACAGGCACTCATTGCATGGACGGGACCATTCTTCTCCCTTTGCTCCTGGGCCCTCGCCTAACCTCCCCACTGGTGACAGTGTGTGGTAGGCAGGGGTCGTTGAAGGAAAAAAAAATTCAAGGACGCTTGTCAAAGACAGTAAGGTAGACTTTATTCAGGACCATCACCATAGGTACAGGGGCCACTGCGGTGGGATTTTGCAGTGGGGGAGAGACATGCGCTCAACTCCAAACACAGAGTAGGCGAGTGGGGAGTGGAGCCAAGTATCAGGGTAGGGGCAAGTGGACGGAAAATTACTAGTAGGAAACATCAGAGATAAAGGCAATTCTGGCTGAATGGACCCAATGGGGTTCTTGGCTGAAGACAGGCCAGGGTGATCAGACATGGCTTAGGGGTGGACGATGGGGAAAATGATCAGATATCAAGGATTTCAAGGGTGGGGGGTGCTCTAGTTAAACAGACTTAGAAGGGTACTTGCTATGAGTGGATTTTATAAGGAAGTGCACAGATGGACCTAGGACGGGTTTCAGGAGCCTGGCTGACATTCGCATCTTGGTCAGGATGCAGTCATCCCTGGAAGAGCTCACACCTGGAGATGCAGTAACCACAGCTGGGAAGTTCAGGAGAAGACAGTGCTGTGTGATTCTGTATTTACACTGTAAAACTCCAAACAGTAAAGTCACCATGATCAGAAAAGTGATCATCACATTTTCCTACATGCTTTTGGGTAAGATTAGCATTTTTGGCTCCCATAACAAAGCACAGTAACGACCTCTGAGAAAGTCCTTGGAAGCCAGGATCCACCGTGGGGGGCGGTGCAATGCGGGTGAGGGAGCACCATGAGCAAGGGCATAAACAGTGTTAACTAAATGGTGCTAGGGAACTGCAGAGGCCAGAAAATCTACACTGTTTCAGTACCTATAGGTTCTGAAGAGCCGGAGCATTGCAAGTCATCACAGTTTTACTAACTTTATCCTAACAGTAGAAGACGTTAGCTGGGAATGGCACATCGGACAATAACACGAGAAGATCGTGCCCGCACCCTATAAAGAGTCTTTGTCTGCGTTTATTGGGCAATCGATGAACATGTTAAGTTCCTATTTTCTACTGATTCTGTTAAATCTTCATGAATGAATCCCTCTAACTCACATGGGTCCAAGAATTTTGTAAAAGATTTTTAAAGTCAAATTGCTGATGAGGTTAAGCACCCTGCAAAAAATATTTGGCTCGGAACCCTGCACACCTATGTCCGACTTTTTGGAATGTCTATACTACACAGCCTCCAACATTGACGTCATGATGTAGGTCAACGTTATTCATTAGAGCTTCGCTGGTAGTAGCTGAAGATAAGAGAACAACTGCAGGGCCTGGCGGAAGGAACCCTCGTTCATTCACACCTAAGAATGTAATGCAAGTGGGAACAGAGGGTGAAGTAGTCTCCCTTTTGGTAACAATGAGGGAAATAAGAATAAGCATTTGAGAAAGAAACACTGGAGGGGAAAACCAAGAAACTACAAAAAAAAAGGTGTCAAGGAGCAGTAAGTGTCAGAAAAGCAGGTCCGTGTGGGCTTGTGAGTCATTCTGATTTTTGAACCATGTGATATTACTTATTCCAAAAATGATGGAGAACTTGAACTTGAAATATATGTTCTTTGACCTACTGATACCACTTCTAGAAATCTGTTTCAGGTAATCATCAGAGAGACATTGTAGCAATTTTCAGTTTGAATTTTTTCATGGGAGAACAGGCTGAAAGCACAAAAGCAAGATTAAATGTAGTATGTGTGTATAATATTACATTACACAGTCAGTGAATTCATATTTTAAAAGCCCCTTGTTGCATTAGAAAATATTCATGAAAGTGTGTGAAAAGCTCTGTGTACAAAATGATATATGAAATAATTCCACTTTTTAAAATCCTTAAGAGATATTAAATATATTTTCCCTCTGGATGTGACTATGGATTTTTTAAACTCTTCTGTATTGTCCCAATTTCCAACAATAAACATGTTACTTTTATATTTATTTTAAAATTGCTTTATAATTATTACCTTTCTAGACCATAGATTTGCAGCTTTAATTAGTATTTGACCAATATTCAGACTCTTAAAAAACTGACCTTGTTCTGCTTAGTAATGATCACTTAATGTATTTAAAAAGCGTGAACCTCCTTTTTGTTCTTGCAGGTAAGGAAAGATATTCTGTGGTTAGGGATAAGATATGTTCATCTTAAAAGCTGGATGAATAGTAATTATGATGAGATCCCATTTCCCACAATGTTTTTAATGAAATGTACCCACTTCCCAGTGGGGATGGGTTGTAAGGACAC